GTCACTGTAACAATTGCCGTGATTTCCTTGCGTGTGTGTGTGTGTGTAACCCTTGGAATCATAGGGATCCTTTCGGATTTTTTAGCAGGGGGACACGGCACCAGATTGCAGACCGTGTCTAACAAAGCTATGCAATCTGGTGGGATATCCAGCTTGGCCAGCTGGACGTACCTGCACTTTTCCTTCTTTTCTGCATGGCATGAGGCTAAGCCAAGAACCTCACTCGGCAGACAAGTACGACCGTCGTCACCCTGTCACTTCGTCGTCGCCTTGAGACTTTGGCCTCCTTTCCTTTTAAGACCTCCAGGTTTCGATGGTCCTTACTGGTACTCTTAGGAAGTGGAGCCCTAGGCCGGCGTGTGGCACCGCTTTCAGTTCAGTACACAATATCCTAAGTGTGTTTGGCCTTGTGCCAACCCGGGATGAGCCCGCAGAGTGCCTCCCGTGGACCCGTCGAACGGGTGTACGTCGTTATCTCCCCTGCCCGGAGATGTAGATGCCCAGAGCGGGCGAAGGTGGCCTAGGCCGTACGTACGATGATCTTTGTCTCATCTTTGGAATTCCAAGTTGGCTCACGCCTTTACGTGACCGCAGCGGTCCAAGCTGGCTTCACGCCTCAACGTGGTCAGAGCGACCGAAGCATTTTCGAGGTTCATTGGAACCTGTGGAGAACTTAGCCCCCTTCTCCCCCTTCCCTCCCCCCTTCCTCTCTTTGCTTTCTGGGGTTTTCCTGAATGTTATACTCAGGATCTCCCCTTTCTTTCTTTGGTGTGTCCCTGGACGATTGTTCGTAGCTGGGAACACCTTCCTTTCCTCTCCCTTTCTCTCCCTCTCTCTTTCTTTCCTTCTCTCTTTCCTCTCTTCACCCTCCTTCCTGGGTGTCCCTGGATGCTTCGTCATAGCTGGGAGCCCTTCTTTTTGGTGTGTCCCTGGACGCATGTGCCGTAGCTGGGAGCACCTTTGTCTCCTTCTTTCTTTCCCTCTCTTTTCTTCCTCCCCCTGCCCCCTCTTTCCTCGCGCGCGGCGTGTTTACAAGCAAACTAGGCTTCTGCAACAGGTTTTCTAATGAGGTTTGGTTTGTCATCGGTTTGTCCCCGTTCATTTGGTTCCCCTTTCATCGGCCCCCACAGACGGTTTTTTCCTCTTTTCTTTCATGTCTTTCTGTCTTCATGTCTCTTCATCCTCATCCTTTCTTTCTCTTGCGCGCACTATCGTCCGGACCGTAGTTTGTACACATACACGCACGCGTACTTTACTTACAGCAAGGTTCAGGTGGCCCAGGTTCGTTACAATGAGGTTTGGCTCATCGGTTGTCCCTCTTCACTTGGTTCCTTTTCATCTGCAACCACACACACCTTTGTCTGTCTTGTCCTTCTCCTTTTCATCTTTCCCTTTTGCGTGCACATGTGCCTACCTCCTTTCCGGGCAGGATGGAGGTCACACATGCCTCCCTTCGGGGAGGCGTGTGTGTGTAACCCTTGGAATCATAGGGATCCTTTCGGATTTTTTAGCAGGGGACACGGCACCAGATTGCAGACCGTGTCTAACAAAGCTATGCAATCTGGTGGGATATCCAGCTTGGCCAGCTGGACGTACCTGCACTTTCCCTTCTTTTCTGCATGGCATGAGGCTAAGCCAAGAACGACCGTCGTCACCCTGTCACTTCGTCGTCGCCTTGAGACTTTGGCCTCCTTTCCTTTTAAGACCTCCAGGTTTCGATGGTCCTTACTGGTACTCTTAGGAAGTGGAACCCTAGGCCGGCGTGTGGCACCGCTTTCAGTTCAGTACACAATATCCTAAGTGTGTGTGTCACCCTCCGTTTCTAGGAGTTTAAATCCATGTGTTCCGCAGCAGGGGCGTCAGGCTCGACACACCTACCTGACGCAATGAAGCTATGGTGTGTCGAGGGAAGTGAGAGCTGATCACTCTCATGTACCTCCAACACATTGACTCCACTGGTTCCCCTCGGCCGCTGTATTTTGCTTCCATGGTGGTTCTCATGATGCTTCCCCCAAACCATTTTCTTTCAGCCGCTTTCAGCTGCTGCGCGTTTGCAGACAAGTGAACACTTTGTTAAACCTTCCAAGTGAGCTGACTTCGCCACCTTGCGTTTCCATCGTTCATTTCTCCGAGGAACAGGGTGTGATCTCCTGCAAGGGATCGCTGAAGCCACCGTGGATCACTTTTGGCTATTGTGTTTCTGCACACGTTGGATTCTCACTAACTGATTAAGTGTCTCACCCCATGAATCTACTGCCGCAACACTGCCGAGTTTACGGGGCTTTGATGCCGCCGGGCTTCCGGTCATATAAATGCCACACACACGCACAACCTCCCCACCTTGCACGCGAATTCACACTTCTTATCCCACCCTCTAATTAGAGTAAAAAGGAAATCGCACTCAACACGCTTGTGTGTTGGTGCCTTTCCTTCTGTTTCTCCTGTCCTAGTCTTTCCTACCCGGGCGGTCTAAGACTAAAGTCCCGCCCGCTAACTATTGCACCTAAGTCATTCGGCTAAGTAGTCAGTAGCTAGAAGGTTTCATAACTAGTGGGCCTCGAAACTACTCCATACTACTCCTATCTTTCTCTCTTGCCTTCTTCGTTTGCTCTTTCCATGTTTTCCTTTCCTTTCTTTCTAAGGCTTGTTAGGTGGTTAGTATTTCTCTTCAGCGCCGATATCGGCCCTCTGTGTGTGGCACCCTCCGTTTCTAGGAGTTCAAATCCATGTGTTCTGCAGCAGGGGCGTCAGGCTCGACACACCTACCTGACGCAACGAAGCTATGGTGTGTCGAGGGAAGTGAGAGCTGATCACTCTCCACCTGCGACCAACACATTGACTCCACTGGCTCCCCTCGGCCGCTGTATTTTGCTTCCATGGTGGCTCTCATGATACTTCCCCCGAACCATTTTCCTTCAGCCGCTTTCAGCTGCCGCGCGTTTGCAGACAAGTGAACACTTTGTTACACCTTCAGCTGACTTCGCCACCTTGCGTTTCCATCGTTCATTTCTCCGAGGAACAGAGGTCACGGAAAACCCATTGTCGAAGTGTGTGTTTCTGTATTTTTTGATATTTTTTTGTTTACCTTAAAGTTCAACTAATGTATTTATACATGATTATATGTATAATTTTTATACACACATATATACACATATTTGATAGATCCGTCTAGGACTCTAAGACCGCGACACGCAAAAAACCACCGTGCCTTTTTTGTTTCACCACCTGGAGGATCTTTCAATCGCCCACCGCTGAGGTTGCCCGCTGGGCCGATGCGCGGCATGCGCTCCGACCGCTGGGCCCTTCCGACATCCTTTGGGGCAGATGAACTTGGGTGGAGTGGTCTGGGTCGTATTACGGTGGTTTTGCAGGTGTGCACTGAGTGAAGTGGAGGAATGAAAATAGGTGGAGGAAGGGTGATTTTTTCAGATCTGTTTTGTGTTCTTTCATTGGTTGTCCAAGTCTACCACTGACTCCGACCACAAATAAGGACTGGATCCACCAGGGCCCATGGTATCCTGTGGACTCGACGAACCGCCAAGAGCTGAAGCTTGAGTGAAAGGAACTCAGGTACCGAAGGACAAAGACATCAAAAACCGAACTCGTTGTAACTCATCCACTCAGCCGCTTTAAGACTTCAAGACGTTTCGATCACAGCAGGGTTCAAAAACACATAGGGCGCAGGACTCAAGTTCAATGCCTAAGGCTGCAGAAGCATCCAGCAATATGTTCACGGGCTTGTGACTGGTTTTCGGGCCAATGTCTTCCCCCAGTGCTCAGCCGTGAATCAGATGTTCCGCGAAAGTCTGAAGGTTTACGACTCGCTTTGACTCCTGTCCTTGTGAAGACGTCAGGACTTTCCCCAGGCGGAGGTAGAAGGACAACGGTGAGCCATTCACGCAATTCACTTTACCCATCAGAGTCTTGTACTGGGCCTTCGCGTGTCACAACGTTCACCCAATAAAGGACGGAATGGCGCGAGTAGGGGGATGATGGTCCAAATGGAGCACTGCCAGACAGAACAAGAGCATGGGACCAAGGATAGGCTTCCTAGTTCACTATAGTTCTCTGACCAGGTGACTGCCGTAGTAAGTGTAAGGTCAGCATGGCGCCACTGATGGATTCCCCACATTCCCAACGGTCCAATCATGCGCACGATGTTCACGTGCAGTGCCGAGCCATGGTCTTTGTGATGGCTGCCGCGCCGGAGGTTCCGGCACCTGGATTGCAGAGGAAAGGACTGGTGGGATCCCATCGCTTTAGCGGTCCGCCAGAGATTGAGCTTCAATGCTTTCAATCCTCACAACAGCTCGTGGAGTGCCCTACTTTGACCATCTGATCCACCAGAGACTCGGATCCTGTCAGGCATTGCCGCCCCAGGCGATCCAACTGTCCGTTCTGATGCTGCCACTGGACGAGAAGAAGCACAAGAACATTCAGAGTCTTGCAGCCTTTCAAGTCATCTTAAGGGTTCTAATGATGCATAACACTGGTTCTAACCATCATCAACCAGCCGTCAAGTGCAAAAAAAGCCGGCAGCACCGGGTCCCCCTGTTCCTCAAAAATGGCTGACCGTTGCACCATTGCGAGACACAGTCATTCGGCTTTTGTACAGGAGGTTGTAGGCGACAGAGGGCTGAGAGCCAGTCTTTTTGTTCGGCGCGAGTGGCGATGTTAGCATGTCTGAATTCAAGTCCCAGAGAAAGATGGCGAGTTCTGTGGTTCTACACGAATTGAGGCAGTTTTGTCAGCCAAACGCATGGCGCTGAAATCAGCTTGGACCGAGCCGCGGCACTCCTGAGGCTTGGAAGCTCCTTCTGTGGCTTGGGCACACTGGCCTATGCGAGTGGCTTCCGATGCCAGCGCCCGGTGGATGAGCCTCAGCCCTAGCCGCCCTAGCCGCCCTAGCCGCCCTAGCCGCCCTAGCCCTGCGTACGCCGGACCACGAGCTCTGTGTTCGAGGGTTGTTGTCTCCGGAGTGCACCGACGAGGTTCGCGGCAAACGGTGAGTTGGCTTGGAATCGCCTTCGGTAGATCCGCGCGATCATTGAATTTGTCTACTGCAACTGTTCATTGTAAACTTGACAATTTCATATTTCATGTGTACAAAATCTGATTCCATCCTCACCACCCTCCACTCCCAATCAAGCATGTTATGACGGACGTCATTGGCTGTTTCCGCTGTGTGTTAACTAGCATACAGCACATAGGCAGCAATTGAGGCATCATGAGAATCATGAGTAGCAAATCATAGGATGTGAGCCGGAGACTGTTCTAACTCAAGAAGAAACATGTCAGCTGTTTCAAGCAAAACGAGGCTCCAACGGGGTGCGACGGTCGGTGCTTGCACGCTGGGTTCGGTGACTGTCCTAAGGAGGGTTGGTGGCATTGTGCTTGACCTCGTTATTTTTGATTGTGGTGTTCGCAGAGTAGCTTTGGGAAGGACACAAGATTAGGTCAGCTCCTGTGAATCCAAGAGGTCTTAGCTACAGTCGTCCGCTCCTTTCTCTGACAGCGTCCAAATGGCGCGCGCGGGAGTCGTCCCAATTCGAACAACACACCGCACACCTTCGCCGGGTACTGTGCCGAACACTGTCCGACTCACATTCTTTGATTTGGTACTCATTTGCTGCCAAAAAACCCATGTGCTATGGTTAGCAAACACGGCGGAAGCAGTCAAAGAGTCAAAGATGTCCGATGTCATCGCCCTCATAAGATGCTTGATCGGGAGTGGAGGGGAGGGTGGTGAGGGTGGAGTCAGATTATGTACATATATGTATATATAAACTTATCAACTTTCCTTCAAGGGGGCCTCTTCCCAACAAGTTTCCCAAGAATGTGGCATGAGTTTGTGGATATCTTTGCCTCTCAGGAAAATGCGTGCCATGGTTGCAAGCAGTTTGGACAAATGGGGCTGCCAGGACCAAGGACGCACTCAACCTAAAGTCTCTTGAGGCAGCACCCTTTTCTTTTTCAAGTGATTTACTTCCGGCCGATTCCAGCAATCCTGCTCCCAATGGTCCAGTGGCTAGATGGCTACTGTATGCTACTGTCAACAGTGGCTCATTCGACAGGGGATTGCTTAGGTGCTTCCCGAGCCCCATCGAGCTATCTGCCTGAACTACTGCAGGTCCATCTGCATGAGTATGTCTTCTCAAATCACATGCCAGGACCACGATTTTGGGGTGGGTGGATATGGGCATCCTTCTTCCTCCGTTCTGGGAAGACGGTGGTTCTAGCATACCATTTTCCCTGGCCGCTGGTTTACAAACAGGGGTTTGTGGGGTTCTCAGGTTCGGAGGCGGCATTCGTTTAACCTGAATGCGCAGTGCTTCAACTCAGGTTTTATTTTGTCGGTGGCCTCTTCATTGGCTTCGTCCTGTTGGAGATCCTTGCAGCGCGGCGCCTCGCGGGAGCGCACGTGGTGCAGGGTCCAGAGCACACGTATGTACGATGATGTAAGCCAGTTTTTGGTGGCAAAAACGGTGGATTCCCAGCAAGGTCACTTAATAAGGCATCTCAAACAGGCCAATTCCAGTAGGAATTCTTCCAGGCCTTGCTGATGGCCTTGGACTTGGTTCCGAACCTGGGCCCGCCAGAGATCTATGTAGTTGCTAGGCCCGCACCAGTGATCGATGTGGCGGACGGATGCATGGGATGCCAAGGCATGCCCAGGCGACCCATCCACTCACCAGACCGGACCTGTAGTTACCAGCTTCCGGTTTTTACTCCACCCAAGTGAAGGAAAAACAGGACCTGCCGCTCGGTTTGAACGCCTCAAGGCTTGGTTCGCGACAAGGCTCAAAGACCACGACAAAAAAAAAAACTGCCCATGCAGTAGAGAAACTGACCCATCCTTCCATTCCTGCCATCTCATTGACCCTTCTCGCATCTCATCCCCTCTGAAGGCCCTGCTCTTGGCGCTGCTGGCTGTTGCACTTCTGCGGCTTGCCTGGGGCAAGGTAGGCTTCTGCGCTCGGGTGTGGTGCGGAACCTCTTGGAGGGCTAGCAACAGAGTCGAGAAAAGCACGGAATGCAGCCTTCAGGCTTAGGGGCCTTGACAAGGTTGAATGAGGTTGAATGAGTGGCTCAGCAAGAATTCCCAAACTCCAAGAGTTCGAAGGATGTACATGACGCAGATGGCAGAGGATTGCCACACTTCCTTGCCACCAGTAGCCATTTTGGCTGGATCTCACTTCCATCCGGCCGGGACGTCTCCCACCAAAACGCCATGTTCGCCTGTTCGCTGCTGTTCGTATGGGCGACCTCTTCGATCGCCGACGGGCATTCCTATTTGGCCCAGCCGGCCTCCCGAAACTTGCTGGCCAACCTCGATGGTGAAGAGACCTGCCCGCACTGCTTGCAGTCGGGTGGCCCGGACAACGTCCAGGAAAGAGGCCAGGGCATGTGGCCCACGCGCTTGGCGCCAGAGTCTCATGGCCTGTGTGGCGACCCTGTGCAAGGGAAGAGCAACTCTTCGGGGTACAAAGGCAAGCTTACACATGTTTGCTTTTGTTTTAGGGTGCCATGATGGTGTGGTGTGGGTGCTGTGGGCGCCATTCTTCTTCATCTTCATACTTAATCGACTTAATCTGTGCCTACTCCTCGGCTTCTGCCTACTCCTCAGTTGAGGTAATCCCCCGACCTTCAAGGATGAGACCTACCTCAAGAAGGGCCCCATTACTGCCACCTATCGAGCGGGCGAGATCGTGGAATTCCAGATCGCGGTGCCTACCGGAGGGGGTTGAGATGGGCGCTTTTCGAGGGTCGAGCGAGACGGGCTTGGCCCTCGGGAGGGGCCTCTTTCTTGGGTTTTTGTGGCGGATTTGGCGGATGATTTAAGATGGTAATATAAGGGAAAAAGCTAGGCATCATTCTGCAAACCAGCTCGATGAGAATGAGAACCCCACTAGCTGGTGGCGGATTCTGCGCCCTCTCCGTCTTGTTTGGACACCAAGTGCATATGTATTGTAAAACTGTATATCTAATGGATTGATTAATTTGTGAAGCACCAGCTTGTAGATTCTAGGAGGCGATGGTTTGGAAATAGAAGCATGCTTGTACTGCAACAATGTTGAAGCACACGTTCCAGCGTGCTTCGAGCATCCCTTTTTGCTCGAAGTGGAGCATCGACTCAGCGTTGCGATCGACCCCAGGTCAGCACCCACCACATGGGTCACTATGAGTTCCGGATTTGTGACGCCGGGTGTGCAAGAAATCGCGGCATGCTTGGGATAGATATTTTGGTGGGCTTGTGTTAGATGACCAGACACCACGATTCCTATAGGTGGGTTCGAGT